ACAAAGAAAGAAGCTAAATATTTCTTCTCCTTTCGTTTGTGCCTTTTATCTTTTTGTTGTACGTTTTTATATCCGATTATAAGATAGAATAAAAGAAAAATATATGTTTATTTCGTCCGAAACACATATCATAAGAAAGTAAGTTTTTTTAAAATTTAAATTAAATGTTTAATTAATTTAATAATAATATTAATTCTGCACGCCTAGTAAACATTCACCGTACTAAAATAATCCTTCCAATGTTTTTATCTATCCAGCTTCCATTGTTTGAAAATACCGCAATGCGTTGCGTGTGTTTTCACTGTTTTCACTGAAGCAACAGCTCTAGAATCCGGTCTTTTGTGAAAGTTAATGATCATCGTTATCCGACCAATGTAAAATCTCCCCTCGTTGCAAGATGCGCGTGAAATGAAGCGTTACTTCAAGCATTCGTCTTACTTACACTACGACGTCATCGTACTTGCCACCTACTCGTACAAGTACTATTCTTACACAACTCACACTAATATTCTATCTATTTTCATGGTTGCGGTAACGTGGGAAGCGAATAATGTGTTGTGTACTTGTTTTCTACTGATTGATCGGTTTGTTGTACATGTACGTGACGAAAATTTATCATGAAAGGTTAAAGCTTGTGATCCTGAGTGCCAGCCAATTCATCAATGCGGCAGCTTGCATCTGCAGTGACTCTATTTACCGTGTCTACTGCGGCGTGAATCTAGGTTTAGCGAAATTGACTCAATGGAATGGGATAGGTTACATTTTTTGTGATAAAAAGACAACCAATGACCCAAATCAATTTTTTCTGCGTTTTTAAATAAACTACTTGCAAATATTTATTTTTTATGTGATTAAAATTTTCAATTTTTCGTAAAATCGGAAGAAAAATTGCTATTTTCAACAAATTTTCAAGATAAATTCTAATTTCCTAAATTTGCTGTCAAAAACAATGTATTTATACTCTTTATATATTTTAAAATATTTTTTAAGAAGTTCCCTTTCCAATAATGTAAGTTTAGATTAAAATATGAAAAACATTGCAAAATGAAATTGTCTTTGCAAAAATTTTGAAATAAAGATGCACATTTATATTTAATACATGCGTGGTCTACCTACCTAACGTTACAATCAATAAATAGAATTTCTCTACACCCCATTAGAAACCGAATAAACCGTTTGGGTCAAATAAACGACGGGTTTAGCCTGGTTGCCATAAAGTGCTTGCGCAGTACTCTGCAGTCCCCAAGTCATCATTTGTCTTTAATGTTAGAGATGCTAGGGACAAAAGTAATTCGGCATTACCTTGGGTGGATATGATAATAAAGTGCCAAGGGTCGACACCATTTCGAAAAGTTTTCAGTCATGCGAAAGTCCTTTAACCCCAAGCAAATGAAAAGGTCACTATAAAAAGTTGAACTTTATTAAACGAAAATAAAAGAATCGAGTAACAAAAATGTTTTGTTTTTCGAAATATAAACGATGTAGGTTTTGAAAAAGTTGCTATATCTGTCACACTGCATTGTACATTGTTTGACAACGATAATTTTGCAAAACAAACATTCTGCCAGTGAACGCGTCGGCATAATAAAGATATAAAATGTGAGGGCCACGTAGGTACTTGTTACAAACAAGAACTTTTGTGTGTTGGGAATGTTTCAGTTTGAGCGCGAACAATGAAAAAGTTTACCATTTATGTGATATAATAGCAACAAGGATCGTTTTTATAGTGTTTTTTGTTTCGGTTTTGCTTTAATATTTTCAGATCAATATTTTTAAATGAATGTTTCCAAAAAACCTCTTGCTATGTGCCCAATTTACAATAATTTCAAAAATACATTTTTATTCAAATTTCAACAGTTGGTATAATATTCGAATGGTAATATTTTATTGGAAAAACGATGATAAATACGAATTGATGTTTCAGTGCGTGCATTGAATTTTAACAAAAGCCGAAATGCGGGCAACGTGCAACAATTTTCTATAACCTGCCACTAACATGGCCGCCGTTTCTCTTCGTATACCATACGTTCACATAAATCAGCAGATAGCTGAATGGTGCGCTGAAAGTGTGACTGCGCAATCTGTATGCCTCCCGAGTGGATTTGGCAAGGACTCGCTTTTGGGACGTTGTGCGCGGAATGTAGAGAGTATCCGAAGAGGTCGGCGGCGTCAAGTGGGGCTGCTTTGTATGTGCTTCAGATGCGCATCGTTACGCTTCATTTGGCTCGTTACAATGAGGCCAGTTCACGTGCGCCGGATGGCAGAGAATAGGATGATCATTAACCTACCCTCATAACTGGAGTGGTACCTGCAGGTGTAAAACAAATAACCTTTCCATAGAAAATAAAAACAAATATGAAAATTTTGCTTTTATTTTGTACATTTTGACATATTTTGTTTGTGTGCTTGCTGGAAGTAACAGAACTAAATTTAATTATTTAATATTTCAATGAAATATTGAACTATTAATTATTTATAAACATGTGTAGAAATTAATGTTTTACTTTAAAGTTGATCGCAAAATTCGCTGCAGAGAGAAACGTTAATATTAACTACAATTAGCCATGCAAATTTAACTTGACATGGAGGCGCTAGGCTCCAGCTGTCCAGGCTGAGCACATTTTAAGTTATAATTAAAACCTTTTTTATCTTATAATCCATGACAAATAATTTTAACTGTAAAAAAAAGTTTTTTTAAATAAATTTTTACAAAAATCAGAAACTTACTTATTTTTATTCTTATGTAATTTAATTTGTTAATTAGTTATATAAATTTGTGAATTTGTGATTGTTCAAGAATCCTTGCTCCTATTTTGATATTACTCTCGCGTTGTTGTACACGTGTTGAAAGTAATCATAAACCCATTTGTTGTTTAGCAGTCGTAAACTGCATTTCCATTAATTTCTTGTTTCTCTTTTGCTGTATGAATTCAGAAATGCCATTTGAATGGAATATAATTCCAAGTTGCCGCAGCAAATGCTCGTGAAACATGAATCGTCGAAAACGATGCGCACCAAACCATCTACGAATGTTAACTCATTTTCATATTGGCGCGCTGGGAAATTTGGCATTTGGGGCGAATTCCATCCATGTTCACGTTGCGTCCTGCAATCTGGATATCATTTAATACCTACGTGCGGACATTCCTCTTGTTATGACCCAGGCAAAATTAATAGAATATTTGATTTCTGTAATTCATCTTTTTTGATTGTATAGCTTTAATTTCAGGTACAAATATCTATAAAATTTTTATTTTAAAAGAAAAAAATAGCATTAAAAGCAAAGCATTGAATCAGTTGAGTTAGTAATTAATTACAATTGAATTACCTATGAATGAAAAGGGTAAAACAGCTTTGTTTGGTTTAACAACGTAAGTAATTAGTATTTGATAGAATTATCGATTTTAACGCTTAACCAAAATCTGCCAGAGTGTGACGAGCAATTTGTTAACATGATTAATGTACTTTTGTCTTTAAACAAGGTAAAGTGTTGAATATAAAATATGGTTTCGTAAAGTTTTTCTGTGTTATACTAACTGTATTCATATTTGGAAAATTCCAGGAAGTTTAATTTCCGTTCTTTAAATATGAAAAATATATGCGTGTATTTTTCTGTCAAAAGCAAGTTTCACCATTGCAAAAAATACAGATGCGGTGAAGAAAGTTAGTAGAATTTATTCCCATGACCTTTGTTAGGATTAACACTTCTATTTTTTGTTTGAACAGTTTGTCTGCGCGCAGAGGAAAATAGGATTAATGCTTGTGCCGACCCGCATTGGGGCAACGGAGTTTCAGGGATATTTACTGCACCTGTTGCAAGTTTATAGAATCAACTATTTGTTGTGGAACGTGTGGGTCTGTTTGGACCTTTCAGTCAAACAACTTGGGGAAAATATAGGCAAAATTACTTGAAATATTCCAGAAAAAATAAAAACGAATAGTTTTTAGTAGGAATAAAAATGTTGGGAAAACGTAAAAACGTTTTTTTATAGATACAGCATCACACACATGGTTTAGAGACAGAAAAAAACTGTTACGTTGTTTTTTATTGAAGTTTTTTTCAAAACAAACAAAATCTGTCGAAATTACAAGAAAAAAATGCATTGAAACGCTTTTACGAGTCTCGATTTCGAAATCCGAGCTTAAAGTCCTAAAGCAAACGTTTCAAATTTTTCTGTAATAGGAATAAATTAATTAAAATTCCTGTTTTAATTAAATTCCAATTTTATTTGAATTTCCATCATCCACACAATTCCTCTAAATCATCACTTACCTCAAAAGCACTCCCAAAACTGTAAAACTACACCCGAAGCAAAACGTAACATGATCTGTTACAGTAAAGGATATGACAGTATTTGGGTGACATGCACTAATCCTCACAGCAAACATGTCATAACCACTAAAGAAAATACTCCACCAGTCAACCCGTTTCACTTATGACCTGTTTGTCTCTTCACATTTATGTCACAATTTTTAGAGTTTTGCGCGGCTTTAGCAAGCATGTTAATTTTTCACGACACACGTCCGCTTGAATAAGAGCATGCTTACCACGTAAAATATGGGAACATCACAACAATAGAACGTGACATTGCTTATAAAACGCGCAGTTGATGCTGTGGTATTCCATTTAAATTGCGGAGTTATTTTTATTGTTTCGCGGGGATGCGAACGAGTGATACGTGTGAGCAACGTACGTGACATTCATGTTTTATTTCGTTATTATTTTAGTGCACCTACTATTTTATTTTATTATCGCTAAAACACGAAAACAGCATTATATGAGTTGGTATTTTGGTTGTACTCGTAAAATATTGGAAGGAGTTCAAGAAAAATTCAAAAGGTCAAAAAAGCGGAAAAAATTGTCGGGAAAATCGAAGGAAAAACAATAAAATAAAAATAATTAGTTTTATTAAAATTAACGCCTGTAAAATAATTAATTTCCTGCTGCAAATTATAAACTTTAAAAAAAAATTATTTTTAACACATTGAAACACTACGCATTTAAGAATAAATTTTTATATTAACACAGATAAAGATTTAATAAATATTTGAATATAATTTCATTTACAACAAGACTGTTATTCCATGTAATAGAATGACTACAATATAATTAATATTACATATCGAAAGTTATCGAAATCTTAACAACTTGTAACATTGAAGTTTTTCGTCGATTTATTGTTCCAGGTTTATAAAAATCTATCATCAATCTCTACGCAACTACATACGTTCTTATTCGTGCCAAAAATTTCAATTTAGAACAAATATTGGAAGATTCCATTCAAATTCAATCCACAGTTGATCAGAAATATTGAAACGTTTTTGATATTTATTTTTTAATTGCTTTCTTGTTATCAACACATCACTGCTTCCTTTTTTTTGTTCCCAATTATAAGATATCTCCATACTTTTAATATATTTGAAATGTATATTTGAACATGTTAAATATTGATAATTTATTGCGAAATAGATATATAGTCAAGATTTTTTCAATAGTGGAAGATGCAGAAGTTTTATTTTTTGATTTTAGAAACTTTGGAAGTAACAATTATTTTTTTAGTTTTGAGGGAACTATTTTGAAGATTTTAAGCAAAAGTTATTAAAAATATGCTTTTCGAAAATGAGTTTTAAGTAGATGAAGTCCGTAATGTGTACAATAATCATGCAGGCAAAATTTAATTGTTTCTTATTATTATCCTGGCTGTACATTATCGTTTTCCCTTTTGCTACTTTTCACTTACACCGAATTGAGTTTCCGTCGACATTAAAATGTTTCACCAACTCAGCGCAAAGTTGCAAACAATTCGCAGGCGAAACGATAAATTATCCTGCGTTTTCTCGGCTTAATTAACTTTTGATGACATCCACTGAACAATAACTTTAACGTGGCAAAAACGAGTTAATATAAATGCCATGTAATAAAATTGTAAAAATTAAAAATTAAGTAGGTAACTTAGTCGAATATACTGCGTAATATTACGTTGGCCCCCAAAATTATACAATTTTTAATATATTAGTATTACCCGTATTTAATTTAATTTTTATTTATTTACATTATTAAATTCATGTTTCAAGCAGTTTTATTAAATTTTTTGTTTCATTTTAATTTTATTTTGAGCTGATTTACAGGATAGAGTTTCAAATTCAAAAATCAACCAAGATTTTGTCAAGGTTTTTATTGCGTCTATCACATCTCTATCTCCAATCTAAAAATAAACATTCTTGGTTGAATTTTCCAATATAATATAAAGTATCATATGTCGCGCTCGCAAATAAAACTAAAAATGAAATTGAGAAACTCGATCTTGTAAAATACTTTCAATTCTAGGAAAAGGCCATTTTTACACGTTTTAAATATTTTAGTTGTGTTTTTTTATTTAATTTCTATTTTTGTGGTTTTTACTCCGTTTTTGTAGACTTCGGTTTACGTTATATCATTTGTTAGTGCGTTTAACTTAAAAGTAATTAAATCACAATACTGTATCGAGTGTATCTAACGAATTCAAAAAGCTTTCGTCTCTAGTGCACCATTGAACAAGTTCATCGATGGAAACGGCCCCATCTTTATTAGTATCGATAAGCTGTAAAGTAAATTGAACCAAAATTAAAGTATACAAAAAAATAATATAAAGTGTTGTATTTATGTAATATATTTACGTGAAAGATTTTTTCGACATGCTCTTTGGCACTTCCATTTTCTACGGTGGGTTCTGTCGAGCGTCCCATCATCTCGTAGATACTGCTAACTACATCGACCATTTCGGTTTTCGATATCAAGCCGTCCCCATCTAGGTCGTAGAGGCCAAATACCCACTGGAGTTTTTCTTGGGTGCTACCCCGAGATACTTTTGACAAAATATCCAAGAAATTCTGTAAATAACATGAAAATGCACACGGTTTGTATGAATCAAAATAATTTAGTACCATTTGTCCAAAATATCAAAAATTGCACAATTTTGTCATATACCTACCTCAAAATTAATTTTCTCACTATTCTTCTGCTTCATTGTATTGAATACGTAATGAGCATAATTATTAGCATCTGAAACAGAAATAAAACATTTCATGTTTCAACCCAGGAGCACATAAGTATCAAAATTTGTTTATTATTATTTTTTCTATATACTTATATAAAATATAGCTGTAATAAATTAATTATATGATTTGTTAACATGTGAATTCGTATTTATTTACAACAGAATATACCTATTGAGTATAATATATTCGAATAATAGAAATTGCAAAACGTGAGGTGTTTCCTATTCTACCAGTTACTTAGTGGAACACGGCAACTCTGTTTACTTTGCTTGGAAGTTTCCAAGTGGAATTTCTATTGAGCTCGTACAATGGAACGCCGCAAAACTTTTCGACTACAAAATTACCTAAACGTAGAAGTACATGCATTAGTGACCAAATACCTCGAGCAACATGTTGCGCTTCTACAACCTCATTCAAGTATAATCATAATAGATCATCTACATTATGTAGAAATAATTATCTACTCTAAAACGTTGATATTTAATTTTAAAAAAAGCCAAATATTAACTGATAAAATAACCTGAAGGTAGTTTTTATTCAAACTGCCATCAACTATCATAAAAATAACTTCCATATTTTACTGACTTATTTTCCTGTTGAAACAAAATCAAAAATGAAAAAAAAATGAAATATGTTGATGGTAGATATTTTTTATTAATGAAATAACTTGCTGGTTGCCTTTGATATGAATAAAACTATCATTTTTTATATTTATAACTCAACTTGCAATTTTCATGTAGTTAGAATGCAATTTGTTGACCTGGAATGAACAAACTCAATTTTCCATTGTCATTCAAAGTTCAGCGCAGGAAACTTTTGACAAGTTCGCTCGCGGCGAATAGGCAAAAAAGTCTTTGTTGTTTTTGTTGATGTAAACATACATTTATGAGGTAATTAATCATGTTGACGTTAATTTTAAAACACTAACCGTACACATACAAAATTCCGAAACAAGCAAATAACTTACCTCCCAACGGAAAGAATTGAGAAAAAATGTGTTTGAACGATTGCTCATCTACCATCCCAGTTGGACATTCCTGCAACAAAACAAACAATAATTACCTTATTGAAATAAGTGCTAAATATGCTAATTGAACAAATTACGAAATTTCCTTTATTTACATTTTCTATCAATCAAAGAATCAAACAGAAATTAACATAAAATTCGTTTTTGTTGTTTTAAGTGATGATGATCATTATGCGAACATGAAATTGAGCATAAATCAAAATGTATAACAGTATATTCTCATCGGCAATATTAGTCTTGTTAGCCGCAACCAGAACGTGTTAACATAATTAAATTTCAACCAACGTGGAAGGATCTGCTAGGCCGATAATACCACATTCCCTCGCATTAAATTTGCATGATTTAGCCGGACGGCTTTCCTTCTACGGGTAACATACAAGTATAGTCAAATGCGTGCAGAATTATTAATGTGGTCAAAGCCTGGTTTTAAGGATACATAAATAAACCGAGTGCAAAAGACACAATCTTCAACGAGTACTTCTCAATAGCACTAAAGTACTTTAGTCACGGGGTGACAAAAACAACCGTTTAGTCACTGGATACTTAATACACTATTATCATGCAGTACGGTTTAGTGTATATGTAGTACAAATTAATCAACAACATGGCAAAACCGTAAAATCACATTTTATTTAACTTTCAAATTTTAATCAAAAATTAAATTCATACAGATTTCATTCTAATATATTCACAATTTAGATTTTATGATAATATTATGATTTTCACATACTGCTCCCATCGAATAAACAGGATTGTTCGACTTGACACCAATTAATCATGCTCAATTGAACATTGGCGCATGTTTCGCTAATCCTCATAAATTGATGCGGGCCGGAATTAATGCATCAACGTATCCTGATTCGCTATACAGCGCCATAAATTCGCAACCTATATCCATTAATGTTGACATGTATAATCGCTTTTGTTTAGGCTTAAAAGTAATGAAATCTCTCTGAATTTTTCGAATTTTTGAAATTTATGTTCACAAAAAAAATGTAATACGTGAAAATAATTACCTACAGGTTTTAATGAATGCATATACAGATGCTGTGCATCATACTTACCCTCCAATTAATTTCCTACCCAGGGATTATACCGTGTGCAGTAGAGATGTAATTACATCCCATTTTTAGTATGCTTTTACTCTAGTAATTAACTTAATTAAAATCCAGTGGCAGGTTTGGATTTTTTACTAATTAATGTATAACCATTTTTATTATCCAAAAATATATTTTAATAATAAAATATTTACTATTACTATGAAAATTTTCTGATTTTATGAAATGATTTAATTAAATTATAGCCGCAAGTTGCTTTAAATATTTGACGAGTCAATGAAATGCATGGGTAATTATACTCAAAACGCCCACGCTCAATACGTTCGTTGGCTCGTTGGGCTCATTCCGTTCATTGCGCTCATTGCGCTCATTAAGCTCAACAGCGCACCGCAATGAGCGCAACACCCCGCGGGTGGCATGCATAAACATTAACTCATTTTCATATCGGCGCGCTGGGAAATCTTCCAGCTTCCCGAGCGTTACATTATCACGTATCTCAGCGCACATTTCTACGAATTGTTCCAAATACATATTGCAAAATTATGCGTTTTGTAAAAATAATCAAAAATAAACTAAAATAACAGTTATTATATTTAATATATAAGCTATTATAAAGAGTTTCTTACCTGTTTAAATCCTCGATACATCAACTGAATTTCTTTTCTCGTGAATTTTGTTTTGGAGCATAGTTTGTGAATGTCTTCGGGCCGATATCGGATTGGTAAATTAAACAAGTCACTATCATCCTCTGAAACAATATAAACATGGTTATTATATCTTTAGGGAATCTTTCGACATGTAAAGTGACAAGGGTTAGGTATATTTATTTTAACCAGTACAAAACTGGCAAGTATTGATTTTTAATACCTAACAGCAAAAATTGAAAAAAAAGTGTAAAAAATGAAAATTTGAATATTTTTATAAAAAATTTATATTTTTGTTCGACTATTCTATAAAAATTTCAGGATTTAATCAAAAAAACATTTATTTACAAATTTATTAGCTTAGCTAAATTCACTAACGTTGCTTTGATTACAATTAATAAATATATCGGATTTAAGTGGGTTTTTCTCGGAGCTCTTTGAATTTATTTGAAAGTGCAATCTTATTATATATCTTATTATCGAAATAACAACTACGGCAGACACAAATTTGTTTATAATGCCGCGGTCAGACATATTGTGTGCATTGGCTGCGGCGCTTATAGTTTCGTGTAAATTGTTTACATTACTTTGCGGCAGCATGCTGCTCGTAAAGATCTCAATTTACGGCCGTCTCGCCGCCGAATCCAATCGCCAACGCACATGTTTTCGCAGGAGCGTAAAACTGGAACCAACCGCTACGTTTCTGCCATTCGCGTGCATCATTCGATAACCGAGTGTTAGCAAGAGTTACTGACACGGCCAAATTAGGAGGCGGCAAATCCTGCTTTATGACTTTTCACAACACAACCGATTACAAATGGTCATATATTAGACGATTCAAAACACGTACGGATTGTAGTTTATTTAATAAATGGAAAAATTTGTAGAAAAAAGAAAAAAATTAAAATTTTTCAAGAATTTTTTTGTTTTTTGATTTTTTAATTAATTTTTAGTTAACTTACCCATTGTGCATAATGAAATGAATTCACACCATCCAATAATCCAAACGTTGACACATGATTAAGTCACAACACAACTGGTGCACACATGTTGACTTAAACACGACCGTAAATCAAACTAGTTTATAGCAAAAGATTTTCGAGAACAAAAACACTGCGATAGACGAAGATGTAATATAATAATCTTCTTTATTGCGAATCTGTGCCGTCACTCCGGTGGATTTATCAGAGCGCGAGATGAAACCTGTATGATGCCGCGTGTGTACTTCCGATGAAGCTGCGGAAAACTGAGAATGCGTCGAAAAGCTGGGATCCGAAAACCCCGTACGCGCTGCCGCCTGATGTGTGCGTCGTTCCCGCCGCATTCGCCCGCGCAGCCATCCCTGCCTCCGCCGCCCCTTGTTTCCCGCTGCGCGATAATGTGCTCTTCAAGGCTCCCTAAAGGCGCATGGCATTAAATGCCAAATGAAATAAATAATAAATAAAAAATACAAAATTCTCAAAATTTTATTTTACAAAATCAAAGTTTTTTCAATAAAAAAATGATTTTTTTAAATTCAATTTGAGTAAAAATTTAATTAAATTATCTACACGTACTTAGTTACTACTACACAAACGTGTATTTCCGGTGTGTGATGTTAAGTGATTAAAGTTTTCAATTTACTTGAATGTTACATTACTTAACTTTTTCAATATTCTTAAACTAGGCACATAAAACGCGCTAACTGATGGTTGAATATTACGGCGAGTACCTTGATGTTCTAATAGGAATACATACACTTTGTAGTAAGGTTTAGGAAAAGCCGGGCTATAGTAATAACGATAACAATTTTGTTCGAGTAGGAGAGTTAGTGAAAAGCGGAAAACTTAAGTAAATGGAATATAAAAAGCCTAAAAACTCTTCCCATGCTTCTGACGTCAATGATACACGTTTATAACTTGCTAAAATAACAATTTTTCCATTTTTCTTAAATGTCAATTGATTAAGTGAACCCCAAATGTTTGCCACCAAATGACAATCTATTCCGGTCATATCAGCTTCGTAAAGACTTAAAAATAACTTTTCTCGATCGACTGGTTCTTGGGTGCTCTCCAGCATCCTTTACCCTATCTCATTTTCACATTCTCCCTACGCAAAAAATATTTACGACCCATATTTAGATTTAGATTTACATAACTGTTTTTAAAGACTTTGTGTTCATTTCCACGTATTTTAATTTTTTTAAATGCGCAAGAACAATTGACAATCGATCCACACGTGCCAGATGTCAGAACATAAATCAACCAATATATCTTACTTATATCCACATCATCTACCTCGAAACCATCACAAACGTAGAAAAGAACGCTCGGAAATATGAAAAAAATTGCGTTGTGCGATGTAGCGCGCGGTTGGTAGTATTTATTGAATCATTTCCCATTTTGCTCGCATGTCGTCTCGCACACCTCGAGACTACGAATGTACGCGCTCGTCGTATTTCTCGCGAATTTCTTCATCATTCGTCCTAGAAGCGGCGGAGAATCTCATTCCATACGTTTGTATGCTGCGCAGTGCAGCACAGTGAAATGTCACGCACAGTTTCTTACATTTCAGCAACACACTGCGCCATGTGCTATTTCCGCATCATCTTTTCTATTATGCCGAAACGACTGGAGACGTGCGACTGACTTTTATACCTTTATATTTTGTAAATCGGCCGATGCTTTATCATTCATGAGGTGTTTTGTTTGGGTGTATGCATGATATGAATATATTTATTTATGAATTGCATTTTTGTGATTTTTTTTTTAAATTTGTAGACGTAATCATTTAATAAGGTACTTAAATTTTGATTATAATTCAGGAGGTTTTTATGGTGCTATTATCTGTCGCAATATTCAACTTTTCAGATATTTTTATGCTCGTAAATTCTCTTGACCGTGTTGGGATCGTCGAGGAAAAGACGGTAAAAATTGACTAAAGTAAATATAGATGTTTATGAAAGTCGTAAATATCTAAATGGTCTTAAAATATATATTTTTGCAAGAAAAAAGTGTTTTTTAGGTATAAACATGGATATTGGAAAATTGATCTCCGATATCAACAATTTTTCAAAGCAGATTTTAATTATTTCACATAACCTTACTTCCATATTTAAAATTATCTCTTGCAGCCATAGTTAAAGAAAAAAATAACCTAAAATATTATTACAAATGTTTTTATATTTATTTAGTAATAAATTATTCTTCTTTCAAGAGTTTAAAAACATGTATTCTTTTCTGAACCTGATAAACGAGTACACATTCCTAAAAAGTAAGATTTACGACCTTGCTCCTTAACTCATACTTGTTAAGTACACTTAAACTCTTTTATCTCATGATTCATGTATAGAATCTTGCAAACAAAACTAAATTTAATTTTATATCAAGGTATATTGCTTAGATATTTATTCCTTTATGTTATTTTAATATAAATTATTTTTAAAGTTTTATATTCTGCAGATAGTCGATATTTAAGAAAGGAAAAAACAATTAGCTGCTATTAAGAAGAAGCTTTAAACTCTCCATACTCCATTAGGATCTCCAAATGGGAATTAATGGACTAGAAGCCTGAACTCGCAAAAAGATTTCTGAACCTGATAAATGTCCTTTGGCATTACGCTTTAACGCTTTACTTCTTTACTTGCCGCCAAATCCCATTGCTCCAGTTTATAAATGTTGAAGGATGATAGTCAATACCTTCTATTAAAAAAAGTTTGATATCAGTAAATCTTTAAATTTTCCTCTAAGTCCCCCAATATATTCAAATTTAAGTATTTATGCAAAATCATTTACAAACTGCTATCTTAATGACTTTCCGAGTTTAATTAAAAAAAAAACACACAAAACTATGCGAGTCATCGGAAATCAGTTGCGTTGAGTTTAGTTTATGTCTGTGCGGAAGTACAAGGAAAGGGCTGGTTGAGAGGGAGATTTACGAGCCATCACTACCTCCAATCCTACACAATCAACTAAAACCCTGCCAACATTGCTACATTTCGACATTACGACAGCCTCCAAGCACAGCACTCCAACTACACTTCAAAATCTATCATTCACATTTACTTTGCTACAATTCCCGACCACAATTGCAAAATTTATGTCAAATCATAAAGCACAAACGCGAAAGTAATATTAATCTGATGCGCTTGCATCATCAAGCAAATTGTGTTTATGCAAGCGTGATTATCTAATTGCAACTCGCAACAATTTTAATCTCGAATCTGCTGCGTTCACTCTCCATAAATCTTGTTACTTGCTAATGTGTTTATAACAGAATTCATAAATCACGCTGGGGCATTCATTCAGTTTGGGGCGAAGTGAAAATGTTTTGCATTTTCTGGCTTGTTTGGAGCTACGTAAATTTTCGCGTGGATTACTTGATGCACGGGTTACATTATGAACTTCACACTCAGAACATGAAATATGAAATAGTATACTGGGTTTGTTAATTAATTTTTGGAAAACTTTATAAGGGATAATACTCTGTAATAATTATACGCACAATAACCTAAAACATCGGAATCAGTTTTGGTGGAATGTAGAATGATGAAATTCGGCGAATTTTCTATATAAAAAAAAGCAAAAATAATTTTTTTTTAAATTTTTGTTGATTTTGATCAAATGGATGAATGGTTTACAAAAGACTCTAAAGAATCTAAAATTACTTTTGTTCAACAAATATTTCCCTCAAAAAACACTTTTGTTAAGCAAATGTTTGAATTTTTAAGATCAACTTTAAGACAGTTATTAGAACTTTATCTAAGTGAATAACTTGTTGTTTGCCCTACCAATAAAGAGTTGGTTAACTCTTCTTTCGTAAACTCGTAAAGTGCCACAACTCGCTCGATTACACAGAAATTTACGAACAGAATAAGAAAAGTTTGCATGCCCTGATATAACGACAATTTTATTGGTAATATTTCAAAACATAAATTACCGCAAATACCGCCGGCAATTCGTGCAGAACAAAAAATTGGAAATAGAAAGAACGCGAAAAGAAAATGAGAATATTTCTAACAAGCATCATATTGCATATATTTGCGCATGTTTTGCTTTGTGCCTGTTTTCCTGAAGCGTCTGCGAGAAGCCGTTCAGAGCATTATGTTTATCCTCACGGCACCAATTTATTTCTTCTCGCACAAAATAAATATTTGCGCGATGCTTGTACAACTTGTGCACAACACTCGGTCGGCTCTGTTGGCTTGTAAGTACAAATTCTCATTCTGTGTTTTTTTCTGCGTGAAAATCTTCGGAGGCTTTGAAGTTTAGTTTATGCACGGTATACGAGTGAAACAAACAAGCATAAAAGAAAACGCAAAAAACACGTAATTACATAGACGAGGAAAAAGGTGCTTACGCATGTTGTAAATTTTATAGAAAATGCAAAGGAACGCTGTTTGCATACGCGGATAAAAGGAAAAACTGGAAAGAGAACAATAACGTATTGTTATACATAAGGGTTGCAATAGACAGGCGTGTAAGATTTTACGTTGAAATTCAGCCGGGCAAATTCGTCAATTTTTCATAAAATATAATCATGAAAGATTGATGGAAAACAGTCGCTTCTAATAGTAAATCATATTCATCCACAACACACTGGTGAACACAAACTTTTTTTTATACATGAAAATGTTATGAAGCAACAAGTAACCAGCCATGCGTTACTATTTCTTGTTATTTTTTATTTTTAAATTTAAATTGAGAATTAAAAATGTGAGGAAATTTTGACAGGAAACAATGTGTTATTCAAATAAATAAAAGTGTTTATTGAGGCCTGAAATTTGTTTGTATGGATTTGCGCAACCAATCAACTCTTTTATGGAGTTGAAGTTAAAAGCAAAAACCTAATTGCGTTTCCATCACTGGCGAATACCCGCCAGCAATTAGCAAAAAGGAAAATTGTGTTGTGCTTTTTTGCGCTCATATTCGCGTCGACTCCAATTGGAAACTCATAAATTTATTAGACCTGGACTGAATGTCGCAGGATTCTAATGAATTTATTACGACGCATAGGATTGTAACGTCTGCGTTTTGCAATAAATTCTTGTCTAATTTGAATAAGCTAATAAACTGTCTGATTAGGTAGCAGACCTAATTCTTTAATATTTAAATCAATAAGCAATAATCAAAACATCAAAATAAATAAAATCAAAAATTATTTATAAATTTAGACTTCCTTAAGCTATGAAAAGAGATAAATAGGGCTGACTACTAATTTTATTGCTCTTAATAATATTAAAAATACTAAAAAGTCAAAATTAACAACCGAAACTTTTAA